TTTTGGGGTGTGTGTGTGTGTGTGTGTGTGTGTGTGTGTGTGTGTTAAGTAAGCTCTATGCCTGATATGGGCCTTGAACTCATGACCCTGAGATCAAGAGCTCTACTGACTGAGCCGGCCAGGCGCCCCAAGGTTTTGAAGTTTACTTATTTATCAAAACCAGCTCTGCTCTGGTTTAAGGATTCCAGTAGTCGCAGGAGGATCATTTAGAAGGAACATAGTGGCCCTCCCAGCCACTTCCCTTCTCACAGAGGCAGCTGCCTGAACCTCTTCCAGCCAATGCTTCTGGTCTTTGCCTTCACGTCTGGACCATCTCGTGTTGCCACTTTTCAGCATGTCAGTCTCAGTCATAATCTGTTGACTTTCCACTGAGGGAAGCTGAGGATTTATTCTTTCCTTCCCTGACCCAACCACACTCTCAACAGCTAAATGATCATCTTGGTCGGGGCCACATTCAGTGTTGGTGCCGTCACAGCTCTACAAATGTCACCCTCGGCTGGGACAGGAGACCAACGTCATCTCCTGCACACTTTCTTGCTTCCCCTGGAGGTGTTTTACATGTGCTTAAATTTCTTTATTTATTTTTAATGTTTTTTTATTTATTTCTAGGAGAGAGAGAGACAGCGTGAGCAGGGGAGGGTCAGAGAGAGAGGGAGTCACAGACTGAAACAGGCTCCAGGCTCTGAGCTGGCAGTCAGCACAGAGCCCGACGCGGGGCTCGAACCCACGAACCGCGAGATCATGACCTGAGCGAAAGTCGGACGCTTAACCGACTAAGCCACCCAGGCGCCCCTTATTTATTTATTTTGAGAGAGAGAGAGAGAGAGTGTGTGTGTTCACACATGCACATGAGCAGGGAGGGGGCAGGAAAAGACAGAGAGAGAATCCCATGCAGGCTCCAAACTGTCAGCACAGAGCCTGATAAGGGGTTAAAATTCATAAACCATGAGAGCATGACCTGAGCTGAAATCAAGAGTCAGACACTTACCCGGCTGAGCCACCCAGGCGCCCCTCACATTTGCTTAATGTTCAATAAATTTGTCACTAGTTTAGCCCCGAACTTTTTACCAAATCTTGAAAGCTCTTTTTAAGATCTTTGGACTCAGTACACTAGTTTGGAGGGTCTGGACAAACCGCTAACCAGTTTTTTTGCTAGGAGATCCTAGAATCTGCCCCATTATAATTTATAGATCATTCATGATTATGGGGGAGTTGTCTTTTTTATTTTTTATATTAATTTTTTTATTTACATCCAAGTTAGCATATAGTACAATGATTTCCAGAGTAGACTCCTTAATGCCCCTCACCCATTTAGCCCATCCCCCCTCCAGTAACCCTCTGTTTGTTCTTATATTTAAGAGTCTATGTTTTTGTCCCCCTCCCTGTTTTTATATTATTTTTGCTTCCCTTCCCTATGTTATTCTGTTTTGTACCTTAAAGTCCTCAAATGAGTGAAGTCATATATTTGTCTTTGTCTGACTAATTTCGCTTAGCATGATACCCTCTAGTTCCATCCATGTAGTTGCAAATGGTAAGATTTCATTCTTTTTGGTTGCTAATACTCCATTGTATATATGTATGTATGTATAGTATATATATATATATATATATACCACATCTTCTTTAGCCATTCATCCGTTGATGGACATTCGGGCTCTTTCCGTACTTTGGCTGTTGTGTTTTTAAAATTTTTTTTTAATGTTTATTTTTGAGAGAGCGTGAGCAGGGGAGGGGCAGAGAGAGAGGGAGACACAGAATCTGAAGCAAGCTCCAGGCCCTGAGCTGTCAGCACAGAGCCTGACACGGGCTCGAACGCACAGACTGTGAGATCATGACCTGAGCTGAAGTCAGATGCTTAACCGACTGAGCCACCCAGGCGCCCCTGGCTATTGTTGATAGCGCTGCTATAAACATTGGGGTGCATGTGCCCTTTGAAACAGCACCCCTGTATCCCTTGGATAAATACCTACTAGTGCAATTGCTGGGTCACAGGGTAGTTCCATTTTTAATTTTTTGAGGAATCTCCATACTTGTTTTCCAGAGTAGCTGTACCATTTGCATTCCCACCAGCCATGCAAAAGGGTTCCTCTTTGTCCGCATCCTCGCCGGCATCTGTTGTTTCCAGAGTTGTTAATGTTAGCCATTCTGACGGGTGTGAGGTGGCATCTCATTGTGGTTTTGATTTGTATTTCCCTGATGATGAGTGATGTTGAGCATTTCCTCATGTGTCTGTTGTCCATCTGGATGTCTTCTTTGGAGAAGTGTCTGTTCATGTCTTTAGCCCATTTCTTCGCTGGATTGTTTTCTGGGTGTTGAGTTTGATAAGTTCTTTATAGATTTTGGATACTAACCCTTTATCTGATATGCTGTTTGCAAATATCTTCTCCTTTTCCATCGGTTGCCTTTTAGTTTTGCTGATTGTTTCCTTCGCTGTGCAGAAGCTTTTTATTTTGATGAGGTCCCAATAGTTCATTTTTGCATTCGTTTCCTTTGCCTCTGGAGACGTGTTGAGTAAGAAGTTGCTGCGGCCAAGGTCAAAGAGGTTCTTGCCTGCTTTCTCCTCGAGGATTTTGATGGCTTCCTGTCTTACATTTAGATCTTTCATCCACCTTGAGTTTATTTTTGTTTCTGGTGTAAGAAAGTGGTCCAGGTTCATTTTTCTGCGTGTCGCTGTCCAGTCTTCCCAGCACCACTTGCTGAAGAGACTGTCTTGATTCCATTGGATATTCTTTCCTGCCTTGTCAAAGGTGAGTTGGTCATACGTTTCTGGGTTCTCTATTCTGTTCCATTGATCTGAGTGTCTGTTGTGCCAGTACCATACTGTCTGGATGATTACAGCTTTGTGATACAGCTTGAAGTCTGGGATTGTGATGCATCCTGCTTTGGTTTTCTTTTTCAAGATTGCTTTGGCTATTTGGGGTCTTTTCTGGTTCCATCCAGATTTTAGGATTGTTTGTCCTAGCTCTGTGAAGAATGCTGGTGTTGTTTTGATAGGGATTACATTGAAGATGTAGATTGCTTTGGGTAGTATTGACATTTTAACACTATTTGTTCTTCCTACCCGGGAGCATGAAATATTTTTCCAATTTTTTGTCTTCTTCAATTTCCTTCATCAGCTTTCTATAGTTTTCAACTCGTGATTGTGTTCAATGGAATGTTCAGTGACAGGAAATATTAATATACCTGATATGCATTTCTTCATTGTGATTTATACCAGAAAGTATATCACACTCTTTTAAGAAACAATAACTACTGAAAAAAATTTTTTATTTTTTGTTAATGTTTATTTAGTTTTGAAAGACAGAGAGACACAGAGTGTGAGTGGGGGAGGGGCAGAGAGAGAGGGAGACACAGAATCTGACACAGGACTGGAACTCACGAACTGCAAGATCATGCATGACCTGAGCTGGAGTCGGACATTTAGCCAACTGAGCCACCCAGGCGCCCCTGAAAAAAATACTTTTAATCTTTAGACTTGACAAGTGCTCTGACTATACCTGAGCCTTAGGACTGCCCCCAGCGGAACTCCCTATCAGAACCCTTGTCTCCTGGGCTCCATAACTTCCTGTTTCGTGGTTTACTCCCTTGTCTTGGTAGAGCGTTTTTTCTAGTAACTTTCTGACAAAGGAGACAGGGGATGCTTGAAAAATCTGACACACATGAAATGTCTTTGTTCCGTTGCTTGACTGGCGCGTATAGAATTTGGATCGGCATAGAATTCTGTGTTGGAAATAATCCTCCTTTAGCATTTTGAGACTTGCTCTTTTCCATTTTTATTGATTGTCTCTTGCTGTGTTGAAAACTAGCCCAAATGTGGCAGACTGAAGGGCTGTCTTTCCTGCGGGTCAGGAATGTGGGAGTGGCTTAGCTAGTTGGGCCGGCCTAGACTCATCCATAGGCTGCAGTAAAGCTGTCCGCTGGTCACCTGGCTTAACTAGAGTATCAGCCTCTAAGATGGGTCCCTCCCGTGACCAGCAAATTATGCCGGTGGTTGCTAGGAGGCCTCAGTTCCTCCCCGTGTGGACTCCATAAGGACACTGAGTGTCCTCAACATGGCAGGTGGCTTCCCCCAGAGCAACTGATCCCAAAAAGAGCCAGACAGAAACTGCAGTGTCTCATACGGCCTGGCCACAGAGTGACACACCATTTCAGCCATATCTTACCCACAGGCCTTACTCGGTTTGTCAGAGCCCGATGCAGGGCTCCATCTCACGACACTGGAATCATGATCTGAGCTGAAATCAAGAGTCGGGCACTCAACCGACTGAGCCGCCCAGGTGCCCCAGGATTGGCTAGCTTCTTAACATTCCCGGGAGGACTCAGGGCTGCCAATTCCCAAGCCGATTTCCAATTCCATTGCTTCCTAGAGGGTTATTTTCACCTGTCCATCTGTTTTCCCAGCTTCCAAAATGGTGACGCTGCCTCCTCTCCCATACCCTCCATCCTCATACATTCGTGTGTTTTTAAAAATTCTCTGTCCCGGGGTGCCTGGGTGGCTCAGCTGGCTGAGCGTCTGACTTCAGCTCAGATCATGATCTCACCATTCGTGAGTTTGAGCCTTGTGCTGGGCTGCTCACTGCTGTCACCCCGTTTCTCTCTCTGCCCTTCCCTCACTTGCACTCGCTCTCTCTCAAAAATAAAAGTAAAAATAAAAACATTTAAAAAATTATCTTTCCCATCTTGCATAGCGTTTCAGGAAGGAGCAACACTAGCTGCATCCCCATCTCTATCCAGAAGCCGTCATGGTCAAGATCATTGTCATGGAGGCCCCTCCGGCCTTAGGAGGAACACAGAGGTTAAGGGTGAGGGACGGAGCCAAGATTTATTCCGGGGCCATCTGTCATCCAGGTGCAATTCCTGGCTCCTGGAGCAAAGCGTTCTGTCCTCCCTGCCTGAAAGCCCAGGCAAGCAGGAGTCGCGGGGTCAATTCCCAGAATCCCAGGGTCAGGGAGGCTGGGGGCAGAGCCAGGCACTGGACAAACAGATCAAAGGTGAGCACCATGAGGCTCCAGACCAGGCCTGGTCAGCTGGGTGGGTGTACAATGAGGTGAGTGGAACCCCCTCCACAGCCTCCCTGGCAGGGGCGAGGGGTTGGAACAGACCTCAGGGCCCTCACCCACCCCCACGCTGCTGCCCCCAGGCTGCTGATCTTCCTGGGCCTGCTGTGGGGCTCAGCAGCTGCACCCCCGGGCCCACAGTGGCCTGAGCCTGTGTTCGGGCGCCTGGCGTCTCCTGGCTTCCCCGGGGAATATGGCAACAACCAGAACCAGCACTGGACCCTGCGCGCACCCCCCGGCTACCGCCTGCGCCTCTACTTCACCCACTTCCACCTGGAGCTCTCCTACCTCTGCGAGTATGACTTTGTCAAGGTGCTGACAGAGCGGGGGGTGACCTGGACCCTCTGGAGGGCTGGGGGCTCCCGAGGACGGGGACGGGGTGGGGGGAACAGGGACATGTGGGAGCGGGGGTCTGGCCTCGAAGGGAGGTAAAGAAGGAGGGAAGGAGGGGCCTTGCATCTTGCCCTCCCTTCCCGTGACTCACACCCTACAGCTGAGCTCAGGGACCAAGGTGCTGGCCACGCTGTGTGGGCAGGAGAGCACGGACACGGAGCGGGCCCCCGGCAACGACACCTTCTACTCGCCGGCCTCCAGCCTGGACGTCACCTTCCACTCTGACTACTCCAACGAGAAGCCCTTCACGGGCTTTGAGGCCTTCTATGCGGCAGAGGGTGAGCCGAGAGGAGGGGGGAAGGTGGGGGGGCAGCAGGAGGGGACGCATCTGCGGGCGGGGGTGACTGTGTTGGGCCAGGCCAGCTCTCCCTTGAGCCTCCTCACCTCCCTGAGGCTGGATTCCTGCCAAGCCAGCAGGAGAGAAGTCCACACCTTGGTCCAACACCACCCTCAGTGCAAATATCAGTGACAGCCATGTCCTCCGCCCCCCGACTGGGCCGGATGGTGTGCTGGGTAGGTGCTGAGGCAGGGACGTGCTCACGGTTCCCCTGGGATGCAAGGGCAGATAGGAGGTCAAGCTCCACCGAGAACGGGCGGCATGACACCCTGTACTTGTGCGTGGGCTTCGAGCCCGACACTTGATTTCAGATACTGGCTCCGGCTGTGTGACCTTGGGCAAGTGCCTCAACCTCTCTGTGCTCCTCGGGAGCATGCAGCAGAGTGTGGTGGAACCCACTCGTGGGGTTCAGGGCCCGCTGCTTCTGCTGATCGCCCACTAACTGGGTGACTCTGAGCAGGACGCTTAAGCTGTCACTGGTTTGGAAAAGGTGGTGCTGACACCTCCCTCCAAGTGTCCTGGGGAGGTTACAGGGCCCCCAGGCCTAGAAAGTGCTCGGCCGGGTGCCAGCCTCCTCTCGGATCAGCCGTGAGGCCCCAGTTGGGCCTCGTCTCCTTCCCTCTGACCACCTGCCTGACCCTCTCCTCCCCCCAGACATTGACGAGTGCCAGGTGCCCCCAGGGGAGGCACCCCCTTGCGACCACCACTGCCACAACTACCTGGGGGGCTTCTACTGCTCGTGCCGCGCGGGCTACGTTCTCCACCGCAACAAACGCACCTGCTCAGGTGAGCCGTGGCTGTAGGGGTGGGGCGGACCCGGTGCTCAGCCCAGCCCCCACTCGGCCCAGGATGCAGCCAGCTCCTCAAGGCCGTAACTGCTCTGCCCACGGCTCTGGGGGGACCACTGGCTCGCGCTTCTCCCGGCAGGCCGCCAGCCCACCTTTGATCTTCTGTCCCCTACTCGCCTGCGTCCATTCACATACCCTCTGCCCTCGGCTGCCTCTCATTGGTCCTCAGCCCATTCCCTTAAATCGCACGTGTGAGGCCCCCACCCCCACTGTGTATCCCATCTGGGCTCTGGGCACCCCCCCCCCCCGCCATGCAGCCACCTCGGGCCTCCGGGTTGGAGGACGATCCCTTTGCTTCTGCTGCCTGCCCCCTCTGAACGCGTGCCAGGTGCCCAGATGGGAAACCCAGGAGTGTCCTGGAGAGAAGGCAGCCCAAGCCTCGGCGCCGCCCCCACCTCCCCCTGCTCAGTGTCTCTCGCCTGGTGTCTCTCCCCGTCTCTCCGTTCTCTCTTCCAGAGCAGAGCCCCTAACCTCACCTCCGGCTCCGGTCTGGGTCGGGCCGAGATTGCTGTGGCCTGCAGCCCCCCAACCACCCCATCCTCGGACCTAAGAATAAACCTGCCTCCACCTCCATCTACTGCTTCGTGTCTCTCGGGCGGCCCCGTGGGGAGAGGGCTGTGGTGTGCACCCTGGCCACCTCCCCTCTCCCGACCCTCATCGAGGCCCCGAGGAACCCTAGTCAGTGGGAGCCCCCTCCACAGGCCGTGGGCCCCTTTGCCAGAAAGGCCTGCTCAGTATCCCACCCAGTCCATTTGGAAGATGGGGCACTGAGGCCCAGAGTGGGGCGAGGGCTTGCCTGAGTTCACACAGGGTAAAGGAGCTCTCCCCACACCCCCGCTGGGTCCCCAGGGCCTGAGCTGGGAACACCCTTAGACTACTCAGAGAATGACTCATGTCCCACATGTGCTGGCCTGGGAGAGCCTGACCCCGAGCAGAGAGGCCCAGGGAGATGGTGTCGCTGGGCGGTCTGGTCCCCACACGCAGGAGCTACTCTCTCTGCTCCAAGAAAGGCTGTGCTGGGGCTCCTCAGTTCTGGAAGTCTCCCAGCTCAAATGCCCATGACCCCCACCCCCTACCCCCCCGCAGGCTGGGGCAGGGGTGGGCGGATGCCTCCCAGGGCTGGTGCCGCTCACTCTGCAAGTGCGCAGTCAGTGGCCCAGTGGGGAAGGAGGGCGCCAGACACGCTTTGGATTGGTGTGAACCTAAACTTCCTCCACTAACCCCCAGGGCAGAGCCCGGGCCCAGGGTGGGAGGGGAAGTGGACAAGGGGGCGCCCTCTGTTCCCCGCAGGGAAACAGGGAAGGCTGGGCTGGTCCCGGCTGGGTGTAGGTGGGAGCCCCATGGTGGGTGAACTTGGGGCCAGGGGTGGGTAAGGAGGGGACCCCTCACCCCTCTGCCTCCTTTCCCTCCCCCACCAGAGCCTGATCTCATTCACTTCTTCACTCCCGGGGGTTGTGACTCTGGCCCAGGAGCCCCTGGGGGTGTGAGTGGGGCCCTGGAGGGTGCACATCCGGGTGCCACCTGTTTCCGCCGAGGCCAGGAAGCCCAAGAAACTCTACAGATTGTCCCTTCCCCGCTGGGGTGTGGTGTCTGGTGTGCAGAGGTGCCTCGGCTGGCCCTGGGCCAGACTGCAGTGGGGACAGCCGGACAGGGCAGAGTCAGGCTGCCTGAGCCCTGCTCACAGCTGCCCGCCCGCCCTCTCTCAGCCCTGTGTTCAGGTCAGGTCTTCACCAGCCGGTCGGGGGTGCTCAGTAGCCCCGAATACCCGCAGCCGTACCCCAAACTGTCCAGCTGCACATACAGTATCCACCTGGAGGAGGGGTTCAGTGTCATCCTGGACTTTGTGGGGTCCTTCGACGTGGAGACGCACCCTGAAACCCAGTGCCCCTACGACTCCCTCAAGGTCAGGTTCCCGGGGGCTGGACCTCACCTGGTTCTGGCTGGTCTTGAGGTGACAGGGCCCCTTTCTGCCTTCAGATTCGAACCAACAAAGAGGAGTATGGCCCGCTTTGCGGGACGACGTTGCCCAGTAGGATTGAAACGAAAAGCAACACCGTGACAGTCACCTTTGTCACCGATCAGTCGGGGGACCACACGGGCTGGAAGATCCACTACACCAGCACAGGTGAGGGCGAGTGAGTCTCGGGTCCCGGCGGGAAACCGTTCCAGGAGAGTCCAGGAGCGACACGGGATGGAACTTTCCTTGCTGGGGGCCCAGGGAAGTGCAGGGGGAGAACACGTGGTCCTCGACCCTCTTAGGGTCCCTGGCAGGGTCTGAAAAGTCAACTGATGCAGACGGATCAACAGGAGAAAAAGTCCAGATTAATTTCAGTAAGTTCCACGTGGCTCAGAGGACTTCCTAAGGAAATAAAGACCCAAAGACACAGTTAGGCCTGTGAACTTTTGTGCCGGGTTTGCAGAAGAGATGGACAGTCATGGGGGGAAAAATGACATGTTAAGGTAAGTGTTGTAAATGGGAAGTGTAGCAAGTCCTGTTTACTTGGATTCTTCTTGGCTCCCTTTGTTTTTGGAGATAAGGAAGCGCCTTGCCTTCTGAGGTAAGGGGGGCACCTGTCACATGACAGTACCTGAGGGTCTTCTGACTGACAGGGACAAAAAGCCAGGGAGCAGAGGCCTGAGGGATTTTCCCGCTTCTGTTTTCTCAAATGCCTTCAGTTTCAAAAGATAGCCACCATGCCGAGGTGCTGTATTTGGGGACAGGATGTCCCACACTCCATCGGAAGACAAACCAGGGCTTGAGTGGGGATGGCCTGCGAGACAATGGTACCCTAGGAGGAAATGCCATCTGCCCACCCGTCCATCCCTCTCCTCACCCCTCCTTCCATCCCCTCTCCTCACCCCTCCTTCCATCCCTCTCCTCACCCCTCCTTCCATCCCTCCCTTCTTCCATCCACCCGTCCACCCAACCAGCCCTCTTTCCACCTATAGGAGAGGAAAAAATAATTTCCCCTCTGCCCTCCTGGATTCTTAGCTGGGACCAAAAGACAGATTAACAAGGGAAAGTCAAACAAGTTTGGTAACAGGTGTGTCTCATACACACGTGGGGGATTACACAGGGGAGAGTGGGGACTTAGACCTCAGGCTTCAATTCCATCTTCAGCTAAAGACAAAAGAGAGGGGGCAGGGGAAGCCAGTGATGGACAGGGGACCATGACCCAGAAAAGTATGGCAAACAAAAGTAAGGTCCATTATACAGACTTAAGACCCTGCCTTCTCTGGTGTTGAGTTTCTAGTGATGTATTCATCCTTCTTCTGGTGCAGAGAGGGGGACACTCTTACAAACTGGACGTGTAATTTGTACTTTTGTAAATATAAAGTTCCTTTACAAAAGGAAAACTTGGACTCTGTTCTCAGAGGCTCTCTGCTGTCTGCAATGTCTGAAAATAATCAGCTCAAAATAACCCTTATGCCAAAGAGTCATATTTTGGGGTGCCGTATTTGCCACCTTTCACACCCACTATCAAACACAAAAAGCAAAATTCTGTTGAGTGAATTTGAAGATCACTTTGAATTTGGCTTTATTAAATGATTCATGATTTGGGCAGCATCCAATCTACCAAGTGGAGGGGAGCTCTGAAGGGGGTTGTATAAAAATGGAGGGTTTTCATAGGAAGACAGAGGGGGCAAGAAAGTCATAAACAAAAGAAAAGAAAGGATTGTTCCAGACAAGATCACCTATTAGGGGAAAGAGCATCTCTCCCTTGTTCTCTCCTTCCTTGGTGCCTGCCTTCCTGCCTTCCCTCCTTCCATTCAACCATCCATCCATCCATCCATCCATCCATCCATCCATCCAACAAGCTCAGAGTCCAGGGTTTAGTGTCTGGCTGCCTAGGTTTGTGTTCAGGCACAAACCTGTTTCCTGGCTATGTGACACCCAACCTCTCACATAACTTTTCCGAGCCTTAACGTCTCCTTCAAAAGGTGCCCATTCCTTAGCTGATGCAGGGAAGGCACTGGGCACAGGATGTGGCATGGAGGAAGTGATAATTGGGTTATAAGGATTGGAGTAATTTTTTTAATGAGGAAATTGGATTAGAAAAGATTAACCCTTGGGCCACCTCGGTTGGAAATGTGGGAAGGGGCGAGACTAGTTGGGAGGAGGGAGACTGGCACTAGGAGAGTCCTGTTCATTCTCCTGTAGGTCAAAGTAATGACACTTCTACATTTGGTTCAGAGCAACTCAAAGGGGGGGTCAGGTTTGCCAGGCTGGTGGGTGAAGGGCCGAGATGGAGTCCTGTGAGGGAGAGAAGGTGCGAGCAGGGCTCTGGCCTGGGCGCTGGGTGGCCACCAGGGTTGTCCCTGGAGATGGGGGCTGGGGGGTGGCAGGGGGCACTTGAGGGGCTGGGCTCCGGGACTGCAGGGGACTGAGAGCCATCGCAGGGCATGGAGACCAGCTGCTGGGAGGAGAAGGGGACTCAGCAAACCACTTGTGTGGGCGAGAGGAAGCAGAGGAAGACTTGGGGTGACACCAGGCTGGAGTTTGGGGGCCTGAGCACTGTGAGCCCGAGCCGGTGAGAGGGAAGCACAATCCGTTGAGTGCTGGGAGGGAGCTGACCCCAGGCTTCTCCAGGCCACGGGGCTGTTGCGGGCGGTCACCTGCACCCACTCTTGGCCAGCGCTCAGCAAAGAACTAGCCTTTACATCCGGCCCCCACGACAGCCCTGGAGGAAACTGAGGCCCAGAAAAGTTTAAAAGCAATTGCTGGGAATGCAGGTCTAGCTCTTTTCCTCCAAGTGATACGATCTCTTGGTTTGCAGCAAGGACTGTAAGGTCCCTGCGCAGAGCAGACCCTCCCCGCGTGCCTGGCTTTCCGGCACTGCCTTGGGGGAGGTCCAGGCGCGGCTACCAATCCTGATTTGTGCAGTAAGCGCCCACGGTGTACTCTGGCCTCTCGTTTTAAATCTTAAGAACTCTACCCCGCTTGTGGCGAGCTCTCTCTAGGTGTTAAGTGCTCCGGCTTTAAATCAAGACCTTGAAATGGCCACGTTCAGACTGGGCTGCTGGAGGCCGCGGCAAAACCCCTAAGCCCGCTTTCCCCTGTGCAGCTCGGCCTTGCCCTGATCCGGTGGCGCCACCTAACGGCCGCCTCATGCCCGTGCAAGCCCAGAACGTCCTGAAAGACCACTTCACCGTCTCCTGCGACACTGGGTACGAGCTTATGAAAGTAAGTGGACACAGAGGTCCAAGTGCAGCCAGGTGGTGATGGGGTTTATAGGATACACAGTCACATCAGCAGATGTGTGGAAGTGGAAAAAGAGCTGTGGTCAGCGTGGTGGTTTCTTTGGCCGACGATTAAACCCTCAAAATTAAAGAAATAAGCTGGCCTAGAAGAGAGAGACGGCCATGGAGACTTTTTTGTTCTTTATACAAAAAGCTTTAAAGGGCACCTGGGTGGCCCAGTCAGTGAAGCCTCGGATTCTTTTTTTTTTTTTAATGTTATTTTTGAGAGAGGGAGACAGAGTGTGAGGGGAGGAGGGGCAGAGAGAGGGAGACACAGAATCCGAAGCAGGCTCCAGGCTCCGAGGTGTCAGCACAGAGCCCGACGCGGGGCTCAAACTCAGAAGCCGTGAGACGCATTGGGACGCTTAACCGACTGAGCCACCCAGGCGCCGCAAGCCTCGGATTGTGACTTCGGCTCAGGTCGTGATCTCCTGGCTCGTGGGTTGGCGCCCCACAGGGGGCTCTGTGCTGAGCCTGCTTGCGTTTCTCTCTCCCTGTCCCTCCCAGGCTCTTTCTCAAAACAAGTAAAATGAACTTTTTTAAGGCCCTTTCTTTTTTAAGGCTGGTGATTAAAATGGATTTTTCTCGGGAGACCCGAGCTACCACCTTGCCTTAAATTTGGCCCCGCATCCTGGTCACATGACCACAGTTCGGGGGCGGACAAAAAAAACCCTACTCCAAGGTGCACAAAAAATTAAACGGCCCTAGGAAACAGTAAATCCTGCAAAGTTATAAATAGTGACCTCTGCGAAGGGTGAGGGAGGATAATTTTTAAAAAACGCTTACTGTGTTGCTTTAGGGGCACAGGTAAGACATTAACACGACCTCTTTATGTTCTTCAAAATTGTCAGGGAATCCCAGAGGTAAAAAGTTAATAACATTGAGATGATAGTTAGCTATTCAGTCCAGTCCTGCGGAGGAGTCCGAGAAAAACACCAGCAGACACTTTGCAAAGTTCCCGGCCAGGCTCTTTCCCGCAGCTACCTGGACTGCAAACCTCTTCAGTTTTTGGTTGGGGCGGGGGGGAGTAAAAAAAAGAAAAGGAAAAAGCCCTCCTGCTCTCCTCTAAAGCGTCAAGGCTGCAGTTGCCCAAGTGATCTTTCATTTCCAACTTTAGAATGACATTTCAGTGAGTCAGACACGTCCTCTCTGAACCACACTAGCAACAGCTGAGAACATGAGTAACTGCCCCCGCAGCGGGCGGCCACAAGGCTGGACAACTCCAGGCACATTCGCTCCACGCTGGAGCAGGCTGGCTTGCCCCCAAACTCTGACCACCGCCCTTCGGCACTTTCTATAAAGTAGTGGTGAGAAAAGTGGCAGGAATTTGCAAGATGTGCTGTGGTCCTGGATTAAAGTGGAAAAGCAAAAAATAATCCTCAATCGCCACGGAGGTCACCGTTGGATTCCCGCAGCACCAACACCTCCCGGGACAGGTCTACTGCATCGGTGACAACACGGGCAGAGGCGATGGCAGCCAGTGCGCATAGGCACCGAGGCAGTCGGGGGTGCGCCCAGTCACGTGGGTGCGGCATCGCCCTCGTGGCATCTCCTGGCCTCCCCCCCACCCCACCCCCATCTCCCCAGCACTGCTGCAGGAGCAGAGCTTCCGGGAGTGGGGTCACGATACAAACAAGGAAAGTAATATTTTCTCACTTCTTCCTTAGGGTCATCTGCCCCTCAAATCATTTGCTTCCGTGTGTCAGAAAGATGGATCTTGGGACCAGCCGATGCCACAGTGCAGCAGTAAGGCCCTTGACCCCAAATCCCCGCGCGGCTTCTGCCTCTGTGCCCACTTCCTGTCTCTTCGGAAATGGTCTACTGATCAGTTACCGAATTCCTAATCTGCTCCTCTTGCCCAGCCTCTCAGTGTGCTCTTACTGGTAAAAACGGAACCAAGCCACTAGGAAAACCATTTGGAAAAGTGTAATCTTTAAAACTGTTTTTCTAAGTCTGAAACCTTGGTTCAGGATGGGAGAGAGAAGCCCACACACGTTAATGCGCACAATCCCACTGTTAGACTATGCCTCTGATCACACACAGCTCACCCATTTGCACAGGTACAGGCCACCATACAGCAGGGATGGGGGTCACGGTGGGTGTACACACACACCCCCGAAACTGGAGTGAGGGTGTACATTACCATTTTGAGAGTGAAGAATCACATTTTAAGCTGTTTTTTCAACGACAAAATACAATCAGAAAAAATGAATTTACAAAACTATAGTGAGAGCCTCTCTTGCCAAATCCCCAAACTACCACTGCGAGTCTGGGGGTCCGTTCCTTCACTTCCTTTCGCTCCTATCTGTATGTAGTAATGTATTCCCACTGTTCTACGCTTTTTAGCCAAAAGGAGACTCCATCTGATTGCACGGACTCCTCGATACTGTTGGGCTGGCTTTCCACGGCACTCTAAGCATTAGTAGAATCACACACTGGTTAGTGACCGCATGGCACCCCTGCCACGGGATGGGTGTTCCCAGGTTTTCACGAATACATCCACTGCTATAGGTAGCACCCCTGTAAATATACTTGCGTGTATTCTGTGCAAGGGTTTCCACAGAACTCGCAGGGAATGTAAATATTTTCCCTTCGTAGCTTCATTCCCGCCACCGAGACTACTAACAGTGGGAGAGCGGGCACCACAGGAGTGCTGGCAGTTGGCGGGTCTGGACCCCCGCTGCCCACCTTAATGAAGCCAGGTGGCCGTGGGCTCTGCAGAGACCCAGAGGAGCACCAGGCTCAGAACCAGGCCCACGGCTTTTAGGCTGCTGGGGACTATTTCAACGTAACCTCTCAACATTCGGGGAAAGAACGGAGTGTTGGATCTCCTGGGCAAGCGAGGACCCCGGGGCTGCTATCACTTCTCGGAGCCCGGGTGGTTAGTGCACATTCGCGCCTAACGAGTGAGCAGTCTTATGCCAATGCAAGGCACTGGGACCTCCAGGTCTCCTAAAAAGTTAATTTAGGAAAAGGGGCCCAAGAATAAAGCAAGTCCTTCTCTTTATCATCGTCTTCGACGTTTTAAGGCCAAACTGCAAACGGAGTGCGGCTTTCCAGGGAACCAGACGAGCAGGCACGTGGGGGAAGTGCTGTGTCCTTCCTTCCGGGAGGCTGTTTTGCGCAGAACTTTGTCGGAAGTTAGGGCACTAAGGAGGCCAAGTGCTTTCAGATCCCCTTCCTTTCGGAGAGGTGCCACAGCGCTCCCGCCCCAGGGGCCTCACCTCAATGTGGCCATTCAGGTCTGAATGCGGAGGAGGGTGATGCTTTGGAATCACACTAAGGCGATCCTCTCCGTTTTCAGAGAGGAGGTCAAGGATGTACGCTGCACAGGGGGTGGGGGGGTGTGCTTCAGGCTACAGCACCCCGCAGGCCAACCACCTGTGTGGACATAAGCAACGTCAGCATGGCCTGACTCCTCCCTCTCCCCCGTTTCCCAGTCGTGGACTGCGGCCCACCCGAGGATCTACCCAACGGCCAAGTGCAGTACATCACAGGTCCTGAAGTGACCACGTACAAGGCGGAGATTCAGTACCGCTGTAACGAGATCTTCTACACAATGAGAACGAACGACGGTAAGCAAACTGTTCAAAGTTGGTGGTGGCGGGGGGAGTGATTTGGAACCTAAGCCCTCAGGATCTGAAAATAAACTTTGGCCAACATTTTTGGCTAAGGCTACGAGAAAGATTAAAAGGCACTTCTCCCACCCGCTAAGTGAAATATTACAGCTCAAGTGACTTTAATGTCAATTTGCAAGAATCTGAAAACAGATCTTATCTAGTAAATGACTACTACAAACACACAATATATTCCAAATGGTTTAATTTAACAAGTCAAAACCTTATCATTAAGCACTTGAGATCTTGATACATATTCAAGTTACACATCTAAAAGGTTTCCACTTTGCAAGCAAACATGGTTAATGCAGAGACCTCCTATTTATGAAATCATGTAAAATGGTTATTCAGACACCTCTATTTCCCGATGCTGCTCCAGAATCAACATTCTTCAAGGGGGTATTCAAGCAAATGACAACCACCTTATACATGCAGTTAAACAGTTTTGCTTTTCCAATGATTTGCAGGTAAATATGTGTGTGAGGCTGATGGATTCTGGACGAGCTCCAAAGGAGAAAAATCGCTCCCAGCCTGTGAGCCTGGTAATGGATACACTTATACAAGACATGTAATTGATGGAAAGTACAGCGGGCGGGAGCCAGGGAGCGGGCTCTAGCTGCCGTAGGCAGAAATGGACTTCAGCACTTGGCTCTTACACCAAGTTATTATTTCCAGATAATACGTTCTCACTCTCCCCTTTCCGTGCGGAGGGGCTGCTAGGTGCTGACTGCGCGTCAGTCATTTGATTAGTTTTTGACCTTACAACTAGGCAAGCATAAAAAATTAAATGATTCTTAAAACTATCTTCAACCATTTATACATTTATAAACACGAGTTCTGCTGTGGAGTTACTTCTCTGTAAAACTCCTATTAAAACCCAAAGCTAATAACTTCATTATTTCCCTAAGCAATTGTTTTCAACAACATCTAGTTTTTAAACATTAATGCAATTTGCCTTTTAATAGTCCTTAAAAAAATTTTTTTCTTAACCAGAATTGGCTTCGAAGATGTAGTTGAATACAGGGATTAAAAAAATCAGAAAGATAATGTATTCATTACTCCTGTGTTATCAGGCTTAAATTAGTTTTCTTTCAAAAAACTATATCTTAGCTGACACAGCATTTGTACGTTTTAATGCAAGTATTCTGCCACAACAGGAACATATTTGCTACATTAATGAGCATATTTAGTTAGCAATACACAGGAAAATGTAGGCTCGAAGAATCAACTAGACAAAAATAGTAATTTCTGAACCTGAAGGGTCCTGGCTACACCTGCCAACATTCTGATTTGGAAAACATTTAAATGTCCAAAGGCGAAAATAATTTTGCAAATCCCGGGACAGTGACCTTAGTTCCTGTTTTCCCAGAACGACATTGTAAACAGCCCGTTTTAAAAGCAGGAAAAGAGAAGCAATGAAAAGGTTACTTCCTTTCACTACATCTCTAATCACACCGCCCAGGACCTCAGCTCAGACCGTTCTTGCTTGCCCTATTAAGTAATATTCCCAATCGTGTAGACCAAATTATTTCAGCAAAACGAATTCGTTTCTAAAAGTTAATTTTCACGCACCTCATTTTCTGAGGGGCTAATCCTAACACCAAAAGGTTTTATCAGGTCTTTGAACGGTGCTGTTCTAACGCTGGCTCACTTGCCTGGGAGGGTGGACACCTACCAATTCGCCTGACGTAACTTTTGGATGACGTTAAATAGCTACGATTCCAAAGTGGGAATAACTGTGGAAAAAAACACCACTGGGTTTCTATAAAGGCTCTACGTATCTGCTTCTTTCCCCAGTTTGTGGAATATCAACTCGTACCGTAAGAGGACGTATATACGGAGGGCAAGCCGCAAAGCCTGGTGACTTTCCCTGGCAAGTCCTATTATTAGGTCGAACGACAGCAGCGGGAGCACTCCTACGAGACAACTGGATCCTAACAGCCGCCCACGCTGTATACGAGCAAAAAGAAGAGGCCTCCTCCTTAGACATCAGAATGGGGACCCTGAAGAGACTGTCGGCTCATTATACAGAAGCCTGGGCCGAGGCCATTTTTATACATGAAGGTTATACTCATGACGCTGGTTTCGATAACGACATAGCACTGATTAAGTTGAAGAACAGAGTCGTAATCAACAGCAACGTCCTGCCTATCTGTTTGCCAAGAAGCGAAGCTGAATCCTTCATGAGGACAGATGACGTGGGAACCGCATCTGGTTGGGGACTCACCCAAAGGGGTTTTCTCGCCAGAAGTCTAATGTTTGTTGACGTACCAATTGTCGATCAGCAGAAATGCGCTGCTGCATATGAAAAGCAGTCCTATCCGGGGGCCAGGGTGACAGAGAACATGCTTTGCGCCGGCTTAGAAGGCGGAGGCAAGGACAGCTGCAGAGGGGACAGTGGAGGGGCCTTAGTGTTTCTAGATAACGAGACACAGAGATGGTTTGTAGGAGGAATAGTGTCCTGGGGTTCCGTGAATTGTGGGGAAGCAAAGCGGTACGGGGTCTACACCAAAGTTACAAACTATATTCCCTGGATCGAGAACATAATTAATAACTTTTAATTTGTCTGTCTTCGATTGGAAAAGGCTTATTTTTAAAACTCCCTGTAAAAGACCCTGGCAGCAATGTGACCTGAGAGACATTAACGTGGCAGTTACTGCTCTACCGCCCAAACCAAACCTGAAGCACAGGAAGGCGGCCACAGGTGCTCCTCCCTTGCCGGCCTCTCACCTCTTACTGTGGGGCTCAAGGGGACGTCAACAATTAAGGGGTATCACCTGTGCCAACCCAACAGCCACTCACTGGTTAAATGTGCATTTAATGACTTACAAAGTCCAATATCTTCCGCACCAGGTATCTGCATTTCTATAAACTACCTGTTCACGTTCTCGGACTGCTCTTCCGTTGTTTGGGGACTTGTTCTTATCGGTCTCTAAAACAGCTTTATATATTATAGTAGCGCTCGTTCAGGGATAACCCTGAATCGTGCTTTTGTAAACAAAATGGAAACATCAATACTTCAGGTTAGGTACTGACGGATTCCCATGTTCAAAACCAATGCCATCAATTGGTGAGATATAATTTTTCATTTACCAAACTGGTAGACAAAAAAAAAACCCCAAAAACAACCCATCAAAACACAGAACGGCACTATTTTACACTGTCAAAGACAACGTAAGTTTTCTAAAGGACAACCTGGCAATACATTTGAAGAGCCCTGAGAGCATGCACAGTCTCTGACCTAGCAATGCCAAGGCTAAGAACTTAATTCAGCTGTGAGGATGTTCTGGGCACTTGGAAATAACCTAAATAAGGGTCAAATTCAGAAGACAGCTGAATCAAATGTGGCAATTCCTTAAGAAGAAATACGACATTAGAACTAAGTGACGATGATACAGATAAATCTGTAGTGTTTTTTTATCCTTCCTTACAATGAACACGAAAATACTTGGGCATCTTTCAACAACAGATCACAAATCACAATAGCTGAGTAAAGTACAGAACTCATACACGATTAAGAGCTACTCTCCTGGTACTTAACAACAACAAATTACTCTAATTTTCACATCCATCTTCGGAATTATCAAGCGGCTAAGGCATTTTACCTATTTAAGCTGACCTACCCTTAAAGATCTCATGTCATCTTGGTTGGCTATTCCTCCTTAAAGTTTTAATAGCTAACGTTTAACCGGGTTTCATTCTAGCCAAATATTTACCACTCATGTAAAAATTCATTTTGAGTTTCTGCCGAATTCCTCCTGTGCATATCAAAGGGGGAGCTTCTTAGGACTTTTCCAAAGTAACTTTCCATCACCTTTGTCACATATAAAAAAGAAATTGAATTTTTCCAGTAAGACTCCAGACACTAAACTGTGGTGGCAACAAATTTTTTATTCAACTGGTTCAAAAACGTTTTAAGAATGAATGCATTGAGATGACCAAATAGACTTTTAATTTTAAAAACAAATCTTTGCCAAATAGTTTTACTTCTAGACTTCATTTTCTTTCTATTTTTATTGTTATTATTATTTTAATCTTACGGGCAGAATTAAATACCCACAGCCACTAGAACCACAAACATGTTAACAGAAGGCTGCTGCACATTGAAGGCCTTCTAAGACTGGAAACTAGATTCACAACAAGTGCAAGTAAGGGATTAAAACCATGCCATTGACAAGTGAACTTACCCCTGGGCTCCTTGAAGGCTTGTCAGTTTAGTCTTTGGAGGTCCCCGAATACCATTTTAAGTGTTACCATGTTACTGCTGCTGAGTAACAGTGCAAGTGCTAAAATGCAAAATTCAGATGGTACAGGGTTTGGAAATCATGCAATTGAGATGCAGAAAAAAATTAAAACAACGCAAGATCCTTTTACAGAGGAAACTGAGTAACGAAACAACGTGGTGATCACAAGTCTAAAGGACGACTTCATTTCTAAAAGCTTAAAACATGTAACTTGCAAAATGACAAACCTAGGTATCGTCATCTAACCAGGTAAGGGCATCAGGTAAACTACTGACACAGAAACATTAACATTCTTCCAGCAGAAAACAAGCGCAACTCTCACAGTAGCCGTTACATAGAAAGTACAACAGAGAATCGTAGATTATTGCTTTTACATACTGCACGGGATGCGCCGTGAGAGTCTATCTGAGTTTGTAAACAATTTGATTCAACATCACTCTATCCCCCCACCTGTGGAGGACAAAGCCCATTTCGCTTAACTTTCAGCCAGACACCCCACCCTGCCAGTTCTTAAAGCTGTCCGGCTTTGTCATGGAGTTCAGGCACAAGAGAAATTTGTGGTTTCTTCTACTTTATCCCTACTGCAATTAATTCCACTTTTCAAATCCCAAACTTTCTAGAAAGGTGCCGACATGCCCTTCTTTTCAACTGCTATGCTTTGCTACAAAGCACCTGAAAATCATCGACATTGTTTTCCCCACTTCCCCAAATATTTCTAAGAAGGCATGATTCCCAATGGAGATTTATACAGGCCATGTAAATAGAACATCACCCAAATGCACAGAGGCACTAATAAAAAACTGGAGGGTACTGCTTACCATTTTAGGTGTGGTCACCCAGACTTATTAAAAACTAGATTTAAAAAGAAAAAAAATAAAAAACAACAAAAAAAAAACTTTTCACTTTGGACAATGCAAGAACAAATAGCAATTAAGTCTGGGTATCAGGTGTCAATGCATGACAGGTGATGAATCCATTTGACTTGAGACAACTTTTCAAATAAGTTTATTTGAAGCAAAATAAACTATTGCCAAGAAACTTTATGAAAGTTCCATCTCAAATGGGTCAAAAAAGGGGAATTAACTGCTATGAATTCTTTGCATTCAGGGCTGCAAAACAAAGACACATATTATTTAAATCAGTTTTATTTAAGAATTTCCAACATTGACAACTCTTATAAAAAGCATCCAAGCACAGGACACAGAACTGCAACAAACAGCATTCTTAGGGCTAGCTGACAGACATTAGAACTTCCACCCTTCGTGGCGACACCCCGAGCTCACTGGTGAACTCTGCTTCCAAGTACTCCTGCAAAGCACACCACAAGCTCAGTCCATGTTCTCAACCCACCAGCTTCAGTTCACAGGACCACACTTACAGATCAGGAACGGAAGAGAACACACACCATACAGCATTCACAGCAGTTGACAAAAGGGCAGGGGAAATACAAATATCATTTCACTTAACACATCCAGCTAATGGGGTTATCTAAGAACAAAACTCACTTAAAGTCTTCCAACAGATGTGGATGTCCTTTGAATGCAAAAAACATTCGTACATTATTTGCTATCATTGCTCTCTGCACACTCTCGCACCAAAGCCACAGGATTGAGAGACACATCTCGCCAAGTTAAAAAATATCCATTATGCACCACCAAGTCTCTGCACGCGCTCTCTCCTTTTCTCGCTCATACTAGCCTTTCATGCCTCGGCACCACCATCAATCCCACACAAGGTTTCAAAAGTTCAAACAGCCTTCTGGTTCCATATCACAGCCTTGCGTTCATAGCGTTGATACGACTCCATGAAATAAAGAGTAGCGGATAAAAATGGGACACCCACCGTCAAAGACGCAGCCTGTGCAGCGTGATGACGAAGTCTTGAATGAGAGAGCATGTAGACGGAAGGATTCCTATGGCAGAATATTTACAGCACTACTTTCAATGAAGTGCTTCTTCCATAAACATTTGAAATGAGATGAACTGCAGAGATTAAATGAAGGCTTCATATTGTACTTTTGCATATGAAGGGAGACAAGTGTTAAAAAACAAAAACGAAAACAAAAGAACCAAACACTGTGACACCATGATCTCCAAAAAAGGAGATTTTCCTAAGGAAAAATTCAGATGGTGGGGTTCAAATTAAAACAAGGAGAAAAGAATGCAGTTCTAATCAATGGTTTCCACTTTGAACATGCAAAGAATTCACTTGACAAGTCCAGGGATAAAATATTACAGGAGAAACCTTTTGATATCAATTGTAGTGTGTTGGGTTTTTTTCTTTTTTTTTACCAATCAGGCAAACAGCAGTTCACTTTCAAACACTCAATATCTCAACCCTTTATGTAACAAAACTTATAAAATTCCTTTAGCTTTTCCTCTTTTTCTAAAGAAAAATGTCAAAAATACTGCTGAATATACTCCACACTGAACAAACCAATTCTGAAAATTCTCAGTACATATGTATTTTACAATATACTTACCATGTGTTTAGAAAAATTTGAATTCCCACCAGTCTATACCAATCCCAACATCTACATTCCCCAGCCAGAAGACTTAGAATCCATGCTTGAGCCAAAGCCTCCATTAAAACAGCTGCCCGACCCTGCATTTGATGCGGATCCCCAACCAATTGCTGCACCTGAATTAGAACCGCTGTAGGAGTTATTTCCGGAGCCAAAGGCCTGATTTGGCTCCCTCTGCATGTTGCCTTGGCTTTGGTTATTACCTGACGGGCCCGACTGGTTCTGCTGACTGGCTAACATGCCCATCATGCCCCAGCTGCTCTGCAGCACTGCCTGGGCTGCCGCCATCATGGCCGGATTGATGCTAAAAGCGCCAAAGTTCATCCCTCCACCCATGTTACTGCCTTGATTGTTTCCCAAACCAGCGCCACCCCCTCTACTGTTACCAAATCCACCCTGATTCCCAAAGCCACCTGGATTACCACCAAATCTTCCACTTCTTTCTAACTGTCTATTGCTATTGTGCTTAGGTTCGGCATTGGATATATGGACGCTGATTCCTTTAATGATCAAGTCCTCTCCACAAAGAGACTGGGCAACCTACAAGAAACAGGGGATGTAAATAAAGGAAATCAAACCATTGGCTCATGCACCAGAGCAGCAATCAAACTTAGATTTCAAGCCAGTGTCTATGCGGGAGGAAAAACAAGCTCATTTCATTTAAACCCAAAGAATGGACTTTAGTAGCCACAGCAGCAGGGATGTTTCAGCTTATTCTCAAAAGATATAAAACACTCCCAGTTAAATGCCACATTCTGAAAAATACCTACAGGGTTTATGACAACAACTATCCAGACCCACGA